AAATCGTGCTGCACTTTAAGCGGGACGAGTCCCTGCCAGTGTGGGGGGAAACAGGTAACCCACTGCCCCAGCAGCTTCTCCAGCAGGTCCACTCGGCCACCGGCAGCTCCTGGGGTGCTTCTCAGCCCCTTCTCAGCTCCCCACCTCATGGGTCCATGTCCCCCAGGCTCCCTCCTCTTCCCTCCTTCCATTTCTCACCACTTCAGGTCCTTTTCTTTCCTTTTTCCTCCTTGTCTTTGCTCTTCGCCATGGCAACTCCCCATCGGTTTAGACAAGCAGCCATCACTTGTTTATAAATAGAGGCAAACACTTTCCCTGCCGCTCTCCCCGGGTGCTGGAGGGTCAGAGGCAGAGGGGACAAAGGCATGGTGTAGCAAACAGAGGGATGGACGGATGGGCACGGGAAGGAATGGTTTTGCCCAGGGTAAGGGTGGGAGACAGGAGAAGTTTGGGTCCCTCTCGCAGCAGGGCTTGGTGGGTACAGCACCACGCTCACCCCGCTTCTCTCTGCTGCAGATGAGACCTCGTTCGAAGCCGGGATCAAGGTTCAGATCCACAGCCAGGACGAGCCCCCGCTGATCGACCAGCTGGGCTTTGGGGTGGCTCCCGGCTTCCAGACCTTCGTGTCCTGCCAGGAGCAGCGGGTAGGGACTGAGGGTGTGTGGGATGCTCCCTCCAGCTCTGCTGTGGGACGCTGAGCCTCCTCCCCATGCCCCCGTCCCCTGCCCCCATGTCAGATGGGGAGGGGGACTCGGGCCCGGGGACTGATACAGCGAGGGTGTCTGTCCCCCGCCATGACGGGGGCTGGTGGGCTTCTCTCCTCACTCCTGGCTTCTGCCCCCTCCCAGCTCATCTACCTGCCGCCTCCCTGGGGTGACTGCAAGGCCACGGCGGGTGACTCAGAGTTTTACGACCCCTACAGCATCCCCGCCTGCCGCATCGACTGCGAGACCCGCTACCTGGTGGAGAACTGCAACTGCCGCATGGTGCACATGCCAGGTAAGCCCCACGCGGGGCGGGGACTGGCCCCCACCGGGCTCAGCCCTCCAATGCTGTCCCAGCAGGAAAACCTGCTTTCTCTCTTCCCCAGGCGATGCCCCTTATTGCACGCCGGAGCAGTACAAGGAGTGTGCAGATCCGGCCTTAGGTGAGGCTGCCCAGCCCTGTGGGACTGAGCTGTGGGTGTTGGGTTTCTCCGTCTCTCCATCTCCCTCTCTCTGTCTCCCTCTCTCCCTGCCCAGATTTCCTGGTGGAGAAGGACAACGAGTACTGCGTCTGCGAGATGCCCTGCAACGTGACCCGCTACGGTAAAGAGCTCTCCATGGTGAAGATCCCCAGCAAGGCCTCCGCCAAGTACTTGGCCAAGAAATACAACAAATCGGAGCAGTACATCGGGTAACGTGCTGTGGCCACGGCGATGCGGCAGCATCTTGTCCCTCCATCCTAAATCACAGCCTGATGCACCTTATGTCTTACACAGGGAGAACATCCTGGTGCTGGATATCTTCTTTGAAGCCCTGAACTATGAGACCATCGAGCAGAAGAAGGCGTACGAGGTGGCTGGCTTGCTAGGTGAGTGTTGGCTGTGCGGGGGACCCTGTGGCAGCACCCAGCCGGCATCCCCCAACCAGGCACAGTCGAGAAACCCACAACAATTTATTGTCATTTAGACAATTACTAGGTTTTACTAGGTCATGTAGTGACAGGACGAGGGGGAATGGATATAAACTGGAAGAGGGCAGGTTTAGATTAAACATTAGGAAGAAGTTTTTCGCTTTGAGGGTTGTGAGGCACTGGAACAGGTTGCCCAGAGAGGTTGTTGAGGCCCCATCCCTGGAGGTGTTCAAGGCCAGGCTGGAGGTGGCCTCGGGCAACCTGGTCTAGTGGGAGGTGTCCCTGCCCATGGCAGGGAGGTTGGAACTCGATGATCTTCAAGGTCCTTCCAACCTAAAGCATTCTATGATTCTATGAATTATTCTGTCACCTGGGGACCCCCTCCCCACCTGGGAAGGGGAATCAGGAAAAAACAAGGAAACTCAAGGGCTGAAATATAAACAGATTTAATAGAATAAGACTAGATAATGAACATTAATAACACTAAAGAACCAATATAAATCCTGATACCAATATAAAATATACAAGGATTATCCTCAGCCCATTCTATCCGTAGAAGCTGTGCACTCCCAGCAGGGGACAGCAAATGTGAGACACAGTTCTGCGGCTTCTGGAGGAAGGGAAGGGCTCAGGGCTCCGGCACCGGGGCAAGCAGTTATCAGCGTCACAGCCATTAAGGAAAGAGAACTTTGCAGCAAACTTTCTAATTTATATTGAATGTGCCATTCATTATATGAAATAACCCTGTTGGGCAGCTTAGGTCAAGTGCTCAGGTCTCACTCCTCCTCATCCCCGCACCTGGCGAGCTCAAAAACACTGAGACCTTGACACCCACATCCCATAGATGGCTATAAACTAAATATTTTCACAAATTCGGACACTAGAGTCTTCTAAAAGTGCAGTTTTCCCCAAGCATTAGAAGAGAAATTAGTCCTGTGTCGCTCAAACCAGGAGACCCTGTTCCTGAGACAGCGGGATGTGCTGACAGTGCAGATGCTGAGTGGAGCATCCCGCTGCCGTGGGCAGGCACCAGTCACAGCAGTGATGAGTTCTGCCCTTTGCTCTCTCTGCCACCGGATGCCGGACTCGCACCACCCTGATGGCTTCCCTCTCCTCTGCAGGTGACATTGGAGGGCAGATGGGGCTGTTCATTGGGGCCAGTATCCTCACAGTACTGGAGCTGTTCGACTACGCCTACGAGGTGAGTGTCTCTGCCGTCCCCTGGCTGCCGGGGGGCAGAGGTTATCCTGGAGCACCAAAGAGCCGCCCATGAGCCCCCAGGGCACTGAAATTTGGCTCTTGCAGGTGATCAAGCACCGGCTGTGCCGGCGGGGCAAGTGCCGCAAGAACCACAAGAGGAACAACACGGACAAGGGCGTCGCACTGAGCATGGATGACGTGAAACGCCATGTAAGTGCCAGGCATGCCACGGGAGCTGCTGGTCCCCTCGTGCAGCTCAGAGGCTGCCTCAAATGTGTCGTGGGGTAGGGGTGAGGGGGTCACCATTTTGGGGAGTGCTTGGGAAAGGAGCAGAGGCACCAGGCAGAGATGCTGCGGGGGACAGGACTCGCTCTCTGTGGGGGTCTGGGTGAAACCAGTGAGCCCAGCATCCCATCCATCCTCTGCCCCGCAGAATCCCTGTGAAAGCATACGGGGCCACCCGGCAGGCATGACGTACGCAGCCAACATCCTACCTCATCACCCGGCCCGGGGCACCTTTGAGGACTTCACCTGCTAACCGACGTCTGGATGTACAACCTGAGCTACCAAAGCCCTCCGGAGAGCTGCCCTTCTCCCTGCGAGTGCCAGCGGAGAGACACATCTAGGGGACCTTGCTCCTCGCCACGGTGGGACACGGACAAGAGCGACGGCCTCGGATTTCGGGGCAGGCGGTCGGGTCAGGCGATGCTTGAACCCGGCGCGTGGCCCCCGCGGCAGCTGCTCTGTGCCTGCCCCGCTAGTTCAGAGACTCGAGGACGCTCCAGCCCGGCCATCCTCGCGGTGCGGGGAGCGACACGCACAGGCCGGGGCCCTGCCCCGTCTCCTCCCCTCGGCTCCCCTCGGCCTTTTTAACTAGAAACCCAGAAGCCAAGAAGAAGCAGCCATTTGGCCGCAGAGTCTCCATCCACAGCCCTGTCCGTCTGTCCATCCATTGTCTCCATGCCCATCCTGCTCCAACGCTTTGGCCGGCACTTGCTGGGACCCCTGTGCCTGGCAGGAGGGATCATCAAGGAGCCCCACGGTGTGCCCAGCAGCGGGTCCAGCAGTCCCAGGAGAGCCTGGCTGTCTCCTGGGACCACAGTGGCCCCACAGCCCATCCTCTCCTGAGCAGTCATGGCCACTCCATGTGCATGAAGCCGGGGCACCTCCACCTCTCCGAAATGTCTTCCTCGGCACCCTGCCCCAGGGATGGCAGTGCCCAGCTACCGAGCTCGGTGGCCAGCCATGAGCACCAGAGGGGACTTGGCCCGGGGGCACCACCTTGGCACTGAAGTCCACGCCGCCCGGGCACTCTCCTTTGTCCGCATTGGGTCGGGCAACAATGTGGTCTCCCTGCTTGTCTCTCCTGGGCTCCACTCAGCCTGGCCAGTGCCAGCCCTGCCCTGCAGTCCCTCCTGTCCCCAGGGAACCTGGGGCTACCCCGTGCGGCCCCCAAAAACAGCCATCCTCAGGGAGAAAGGCAGAAGGAAAACTCCTGGCCCCCACTTCAGCTGCAGCCACCAGCCCGTCTCAGCCAGGGGCACCACGAGGGACAGCCCCTTGGCACTGCTTTGGCCGGGCGGGCACAGGAGCCCCAACACCAGAAGGGTTCATAGGTTGAGGGACACCCCATGGCACAGGGTGCTCTGGTCCACGGGACCGCAGGCTCCCACCCCGCTGAACCCCCCAACAGCAGCTGCCCCTGGGCACCGCGAGCCCTGGGCATCTTCAGGGCATCTGTGGGCTCGCTGCCCCGGGACTGCCACTGCCCTCTCCCCAGCACGCAGAGACCGGCCCTGGCAGCCGGGGTCCGGCCGTCCAGCACTGGGCGAGTCTCTGCTCCTCGGGCCCGCAAGCGCATGCCATTTCGCTCCCCGGTCAGTGGAAATTGGCCTCCCCCAGCCCCACCAGCCCCCAGCCCCCACGCATCAAGCAAGAGCCCTCCCAGGGCTGAAGTGCTACTTATCTTTAAGAGCTTTTGCAATAAGTCTTTTTAGTAATTATTATTTCTAAATGGTAGTTTTGTTTTTATTATTGTCATTGTTATTATTATTTGCTTCCTGACCAAAATTAGGAACTGGGGGTCAGTCCTTTGTATCCAGCAATCGCCCAAAGATGACGGGTCGGCCACATCCATAAATTTTCTTATGGATTTTTCCTAACGTTTCATTGCAGTTCATTTATTTATTTTCTTTCTTTCTCTTTCTCATTAAAGCTTTTAAAGATGGGGCTGGGATTTGACCTTGACGCTCACCTGTTGAAGCATACACTTTTTTTGTTTGTTTCTATTATGTCATCTGCATTTTATATTTCTTATATATAATATATATGACTATATATATATGTGTACATATATATATATATCTCTATATATGCATCATATCAGTGTAGATACCCATCTGGTAGCATTTAGGCCTTGTTCTTGTGCCATTTTTTTTCTGTTACTGATCTCTGAATGCCTTCAAGTGTATAAAGTGTTGAATTCTCTCTGGTATCTGTACTATGTACACACATTTTCATAGGAAGCACAATAAGATGACAGATGCATTGTACATCAATACCTGCTACTCTTAACGATGATATAAAGAATGATATAACTCATGAACACTGAGCCTTTCTCTCTCGCGGAGCTGCTGGGAATGCTCCCCAAGGAGGCAGGTGGGGACAGCATCATCCCAGGATGTTCTCGAAGGCACCACTGAAATCCTGGAGCCAAGACCAAAAGCAGAGGGGGGAGGATAAAGCTTTGGTCCAGACTTCCAGCACTGTCTTTAAACATGCACATGAATACCAGGAACATCAGAGCTGATGTTGAACAGAGTCACACTAAAGCCTCCCTTTGCCAAGTGCTGTGCTAATGTGAGGATTGCTGTGGGTACCGCAGCAGCTCCAGCATCCCTGCCTGGTCCTCCGCTGCCATGTGAACACGCCCTGAGGGATGTTTTAGGACTGGAGGATGGGAACTGACTTTTGCTCTCAGGCAGGGGGAGGAGAATTAACATATGCACAGCTGCTAATCTTTGACAAGTCTAACACTTCTGCGGTTTGGGACAGACACCTGAGATTCAGCAGAAATGAGTCACTAGCTCGAATATCACCTGGTTTTAATTTAACCAAGTTAGTAGCAGTTGTAGCACAAGCCATATGTAAACACACTTTTTGTCCTAAAAATTTCCAGCTACAATGAGCAAAAGTATCATGCCAGATCCAACACCGGGCATCCAAAAAAGCCCTCAGGACCCCATGGAGACTGAATAATAGTGAGTGGGCAGTGGGCAGGGAATACTGAAATGCCAAACTCCCCCCAGTCACTTGGCTCTGGCCATGTCCCTGTTGCTCCTGGAAAGGGCAGACGGGTGTTTTGCATTTAAACTGGAACGGTCTTACTGCTATTCTGGTCCTTCTCTGCCAGAGCTGGTGCTGCAAAGGCCACAGGGTGGGTTTTGAATAGGAACAAGATAATATAGCTAAGCCCAGAAGGGAGTTAATGAACCTAAATTAATTGCAGCCAGTCACTGTGAGTAGCCAGAGCAGCTGCCCATACCGGTTTCCTCCACAGTGGCATCCACAGTGGCTCCTGTTGCGGGGGCAGGCAGTGACCCTGTCTCTGCAAGCTGTAATCTCTTCCATAGCTCCCCATTAACCTGCCGGGCTGTGCTGGGAGCAGGTCACCCCATCCATCTGTCACAGCCTCGCACTGCATAGGCGCATCCCCAGCCTCAGCATGGCTGTCTGAGGTTTCTGCTGCCACTGGACGCGACGTCTGCGAGCCACAGCCCAGAACGGACTCGCAGAGGAGCTGCCTGGACTCCCGAGGCAGCACAGACAATGCAGTTTCCATGGGTGTATGGTGCGTAGCCAGACAAGACACCATGTGAGCATCTCTCAGATATGAAGTGGAAAAGGTGCAATTTTCAGACTCAAGGCTCTTCTGTGCACATGATCCGTGTGTGGCAGGGCAGCGTACGCGGGCTGGGGAGCTTCAGCCTGTTCAGGATGCCGGCGGCTCACGGACGGGCGCACCGCACGTAGGCTGCACGGGGCTGGCAGGCTGCAAGGTGCGTGGCGCAGGCAGCGTGTGTGCATCCACGTCTGTCACTCAGTGGTGCGAGACTCATGCTGTGCACAAGACAAGGAGTTAATTACATTTCACGGAAAGCATCTCTGACGATCCACGCAAGGACGGGGTATGACACACCTAGGCCTGAGATGCCGGGAAGCACCTGCTTGCACGCTGCTGTGTTTACCTCGCAGATCACATGGCTGCTGAAACCCTACAGAGCAAGGATTAATCATGCAACACGCATAAAACCACGGCAGAGATAGCATCACCTCTTCTCCTCCCTGGCAATAATTCCTGGTTACCACTTGCTCAGTGCTAAAGCTGCCAGCAGAAACAGGCGCTGAGATATAATTACACAGTCCTGGATGCTGCTCGGCTGCCTGGAGCCAGAGCCATACCGGTTGGGGAAGAAGGTTTCAGAGGAGCTGCCTGGTGCCAGCAGGTGCAGTAAAATGAAGGTGCGGGTAGCATTTCGCAAACCATTTCCACTGGGAGGAGCAAACCAACCAAACCCTCAGGGCAGAGAAAAGGAGAAAGGACAAGTGTAAGCAGACGTTGAGCCAAGGAAGCTGGGGTTATTTTCTCCTTGTGTTTCTTATAAAATGCAGTTAGTACCAGGCGACAGGGAGGACGGGTCAGAGAGCGTCCCTGGGGACAGAGGGCTGGGGTTGCTCCCAGCTGAGCTCATGCAACATGCTCATGCTCATGCTCAAGACCCTGCAGCTCACCTGCTCTCTGTGCCAAACTGAGCAGCTCTCTAAGTCGCACTTCCCTCTCTCCACTTCTGAGGTTTGCCCTTGCCTTCCCTCACTCTCAGCCCGCCTTGCTCTGCGTGTCCCTCCCAGGAGAGCTAGGCAGCTTTCCAGCCTGCCCAAAAGGTTTCTGCCAGGCTTTAAGTCTCAGTCAAAGTTGCATCTGAACAATACGGAGCAGATAAGTTCCACTGCTCTTCCTCTCCATGAATATTTCATAAGGCTGCCGGGCGCCAAGCCTGTCGGAGGTGGCATTAAATTAACTACACGGACACATGGATGCTGAGACAACAGTTAATGGCTGTGCTCAAAGCTTTGTGTTTTTCATTGAGGATAGGAAATGCCGTATCTGGCAGAAAAGGTGACAACACAGTCAACACAGTCTTTGCTCAGTCAACAACGCCATGCACTGTACAGGACAGCCTCCAAAATGACCCATGATCATCATTAATTGCTTGCTTAATACTTGTGGCGTGACTGCTCACTTGGGGTTTTTCACAGATTAACGCTGGCTGGATTTGTGTCCCTTTTTCTCTCTGAGCAACCGCAAGGGTAAGTGCTTTGGGGAATAGGGAACTTAATGCTAATACTTGCAGAAAGTGGCCTTAAATTCTAACACCACGCTTTCTGTAGCAACCCAAGACACTGTGAAGGGAGACAGGAATCCTTTTCCTGGGTGCTCAGCCTAAACCTGAACAAACTGACTCCATCTCTGTCCATTTA